AGGATCTACAGCCTATTATGATCTATTTAATTTTTATTCCAACTGGACTATTTGCCGGTTCATACCTATCTATTTACTTCCTCCACCATTATGTATAGCTCTTCTTTGAACTTATTTCACTATCTTGGCCTATTTCCTTTTTTCTTATCTTTATTTCCGTTGGTAGTAGGTGGATCTATAGGTTTCTTCTCTCGTTTCTTCTTTGAGATAAAGCTATTTGGAGCACTTCTTTTTTTTCTCCTTTTTTTCTTAGAGTCAATATTAAGTTCTTTTTCCCAGTTTGCTACTTCCTCACATCTTTGCGGCCAGATTACATCTTGGAAGAAAGTATGCCATTTGTTCCACTATTCTAATATGATTGCCTCTGAGCTTCAGATTGGAATACCTATCAATTGTAGAAAGATTAACACTTCTGTCTCAATTAGCCCTCTTGCTATTTCCTTTTTTTTTTATAGATTTTTTTCTTTTTCTTTACCCATGAGAGTTTGGTACAAAACGTCTATAGAGAGCTTCTTTTTTATATGTGGATCTAGGTTGTTCCAGATTTTTTTTACAATTTCCTGCTCCTTATTTGCCTACTTTAATTTATCCATCTCACAAGTGAATAAGTAGTTGAAATCTTCTTCCTCTTGTTCACACTTTTTCATAATGCTGATGGACATAGATCTTTTCGGTTTCTTCTATGAGCATTGAGAGTAGGAAGTAATCCATTTAAGCTTTTGAGTCTAAAACTCCACCTTTTGTTAGATTTATAGGTTCTTCCTTTTTTCTTCTTTTCTTTAATCCACAGGCTCTTAAAGATTTTCCAATCTTGTTTTATAGATCTTCATTGGTGAATCGAGTCCTTAGTGTTGTTAACAAATAGCCATTTTGCCTTGTAAAGTGTGTAAGTAATTTTTTTAACAAAATTACAGATTGGGGCTTCAATATTATTAGATTTTTACCAAAGAATTGGATAGAAATAATTGAAGAAACTTCAAGTGTACAGTGATTAGAGGGCTTACAAGTAATAGGAGGAGGATGATAACAAGTTAAAAAAGAAGAATTAATATCATATTGCTAATGAGTAATAGAAATTGAGTTGGATTGATGAAAGACTTTGCAAACTTGACCAATGATAATATTATTATTATAGCAAGCAAATACCCAAGCTTGTAAGATTTGTTAATTAAATTAGTTTGATAGGAAAATAAGTTAAGTCCAGAAGGTTAATAAGAGAATAAAAGAAGGAATGTGACAAGATAGTATTTTCTAGGTAAAGGAACTAGACAAGCTTTTTCCTTTGAAAATATGAAGTAATCTGGGAGAGAAGTGTGACCAATTAAGTAGTGTGCTATTGTCAGCAGAGCATAATTGTTCAAGAAAATGAATATTTTTGTTGTAAAGTTGCTATTTAAAAGTATGATATTTGGAATAGTGAGATTGATATAAATAATTAATTAATATTGATATAAAAATAATATTTAATTTAATAAATTATTAAAAATATATGAAGCAACTTCTGGCCCAAGTTGCTGTAAATTTAGTTCTTGAAGTAGTGTTTTTTTGCTGACTCACTTGTATTTTTTTTAGCTTTTCTAATAAATTTTCTTTTTCAATTTGACTTGAAGACAAACAAAGCTTCAATTGTCTTATTGATAGTAATATATTTAGATATATTTCTAGGCCTAGTTTGTTAAAAAGACCTTCCACCTGTTGCTGATCTATAACAATAAAATATATTTGTGTTTTAATAAAATAATATAGTTTAAGAAAGTTAAATATTGGTAATTCAGCATTCACACAGAATTCTTTAAATTCTTTAAGAAAACCATCATCTTGTAATAGCAATTCACATAAACCTAAACTATCTGTTTTTCTATTTTTTAAATTATCTTCCAATTCTTGTGCAAAGCACAATTCCAAATTATTTGGTAGTTTAACCCAAGGTTTTTTCAAGACAATATAAAAAAAACTAGAAGTGAAGGACCTTGCATTGTCATCACCAAGGTGGCAAACAATTAATAATAAATAAAGCCAAAGTAATAATCATTTTTCAAAATAATCCAAGGCTTTAGCGATTCCTTTTTCAAATTTTCAAAAAGTATTTCAAACTTTTTACTAGTCAATATATTTAATATTTTTAATAATTTATTAGCAAAAAACATTTCGAAGTTTTTAGCTACTTCTAGAAGAAATTTATACTATTCATAAACCTTGTCAGGCATTTTATAAGCCTGACAACCCAGAGGTAGATTAATAAGTTGATTGTTTTTATAAATATGTAGAGCTTTGTCTTGGCCAATTATAAACTGCATTAATAGTTTGTAGAAATATTTAGCAAAAGTAATTAAATATTTTATATGTATATTTAATTTAGAATCAAGAAGCCAGAATCATAACAAATATCAATTATTAAAATATTGCTTTGGAGTATTATGCTTCTCTATTTCATTAATAAATTAATTAGTGAACTCAATATGTACTATATATTAATCAACATATTGCTTTGTTGTTTGTAATTCATAATTTCAACATATACAAAGAGGTAACTAATATTGATTATAATAAAATCTCAATAATTCATTATATAAATTTTTAATTATTTGTAAATTTATGTTAAGTGGTTTGTTTCTATTACTAGAATCATAACTATCAAGTAATTTTTAAGCTAATTATAGCAAGTTGTATAGTATTAGCAGGTATACCAAATGCTTCTTGCTCAAAGTGATTTATTATTATTTGAATAATATAGAGCCCATATCTAATCTGCAATGAATTTCTTGTTAAATAAAGCAATAGTACCTTTTTTGTCACTTGATATATATGATATATTATCTGTTGTCTATACTATATATTTCTTAATATCTAATCCATATTCTTGAATATAATTTATTATAACATCAGATACTATATTGGCATTATATTTAATAATATTTTGCAATTGTGCAACTATTATATTAGGCAACTGATTTTTTTCATCCAATATTAATAGCATAATATTAAAATTTTTAATTGATCTCGGGTTGATTTATCAACCATTATTCCAAATGCCAGAGCATTTTTGACTTGATGGATTTGTTTATTAAATTATAATTCTGAAATGTTCTTATACTATATGTGCAAAGTAGAAGATAATAGCTAATCTTTTAGTGGTTTTCCTGTTAAAAATTTATAGAATAATCACATATATTCAACAGTAGAATATAGTGATATTTCACCAACTTGTAGAATATTTGTGGTAAGCCAAATAGTGTTTGATAAGTAAAAATTTTTATTAAGATTAAAAATAGGTTTAACCTTTTCTTAAAATTCTTTATTAGTAATTTGCTTAGAATATCAAACTAAAAAATAAATTTTAGCTATATGTTTTGATTTTTGATGTTTAATATATTGAGCCTTTGCTTCTAGTGATTGTGTTCATTTAATAAACTTTTGAATAAGTTCATTACTTGTTTTTTTTAATTTCAAATTTAAAATTTGCAGTAAATAATAATTCAATTTAGGTTTATATAGGCTTTGAGAAAAATAGTCATAAGCTTTTTTTTGTAAATAAGGTGAAATTATCTTTCTTTTATTTGGATATTGCATAGTAGAGATAAGTTTATTTGCTAAAGGTAACTTTTCTTCAGATAATTGTTGAATTGTTAAGATTAGCTCAGTTCTTTGTATAACTTTGGATAATTCTTTAAATGACACCAATGCTTCTTCAATTGATACAGATTTTCAATTAATACAAATGCCTCTTTGATTGATACAAATACTTTTTTAATTGATTCAGTTGCATCTTTGATTGATGCTAATACCCCATCAATTGATATTATTATCCCTTCAGGTAATACTAATACCCATTGATTTTGCCAATGTCTCTTTAATTGCCTTTTCTTTGAGCCTTTTTTGATGTTTTTTAAAACATGCATTTTTATTTGACCTATATATGCTTATGTTTCTTGGATTTAATTAGATATACAGCTTTAATAGTATATAATTCCAATGTGAAATTATGAGAAGATTAATAGCAAGTTTCAAAAAACTAAACTATAAAATGAAATTTTTATTTTAGAACAATAGAATTAATTCTAATGCAGAAAGTCGCATATAATAACAGCAGTAGGTCTTACAAACTCAGTTGAAATAAAAGATAGAATAGAACAAGAAGAGGTCTTCTTATTATTACTCTGATGGATCTTCTACAACCCACTATTAGTAAGAGTACAGAAGAGCAAAAAGCTTGCCTATACCATAGAGACTCTAAACCCTAACTTGTTGTAAGAGGGTGAAGCAAAGAATGAGAAAGTAAAAGTGGCAGTTGTAGCATTTGAGATAATACTATATAGATTGCTCCTAATAGACAAGTGATAGAGAAAACACTTATGATTGTAAATGAATTCTTTGAGCTTAATGATATACAGATCAATGAGAAAAAGTCAAATATTATAGTTTTCAACCCAGAGTTCAGATTAGAAGAAAGATATATTATATTTAGAGATGAAAAAATTAAAGAAGAAAAGGCAAATAATATAATGAAAGTTCTTGGAATATAGCTTAACTGTAGAATGAATGAGAATTTGGTGTACAAAAAGGTCAAAATAATTATACAGCAAACAGTAAAAGTACTAAGGTAGAAAAAACTTATAGTTAGCCAATTAGTATATATAAATAACATGTATATTATACCCAAACTCTGTTATCTACTTCAATTATTAAGAGTATCTGGAGACTTAATAGACAAGATCCATCAACTAATAATTAGACTAGCAAAAAGCAAACTTGACCTTCAAGTTACAATACCAAACTATGTAACTATACACAAGAATATAGGAAATTTCAGAGTATTAGGCTCAGAGCTATTAAATAAGCAGATCACAAGTCTACATAATAGATTAAATGATAAAAAGGTAATTAACAAAATCACTGAGCTGAGAATTTAGCAAAAACACCAAATAGCTAGTTTAACGGAGAGCTTTGATGATCAAGAAGAATATATAGTGCATGAAAAACTCTGAAAATACAATTAAGCAATGCTAACCTTAGTAAAGAAAACAAAGAAGCAATTAGTAATTAAACCAACACAAGGTAGTTGGGGAACCAGAGATATAGGTAGAACAATATATAGTATGATAAAAGAAAAAGCTTTTATGAAGTGTGCAAAGATACTAAAATCCTTAGATCTAATATTTATCAAACAGCTTTTAGATATACAGGAAAAGCAAATGATTATATAGCATTATCTTAAACAAGACAAAGAAAGATCTAGTAAAGGAAAAGTTTCAATCTGGTTTAAGTCAATCGAGAATCAGATGATCACTAACTTTGATACAAGAGAAATAAAGCAAGATCTGCAAACAAGTAGCACAAACAAATTAGAATTAATACCCCAAAGAGTGAAGGTCTCAGAAGACAAATGTAAACTCAATTAAATACTAGTCAACAACAAAGAGAACGAGCCAGATATTCGAAGAGTAATTAGCAAGAGCAAAGAAGGATTTTGCACAGAGAATAGTTAGTTAGTAAAGAAGAAAAAGGTAAAATTAGAATAAATAAAGAAGTAATTACATCAAGCAACACCCAACAAACAGAGTAGATCAATAAGAAAAAAGTAATCACAGTATTGCAAGGGCTTAGAAAGCAAAATAGTAGTTGGGTTCTTGATATGACACAAAGCTCACTTGAAGGAATTAGGAAAAATAATATTGATTCAGAGATAACTAGTAGGAGGGAAATAGATAGAGACTTGTATAGTTTAAAACATGCAAGTATGGCAGATATAGTTTATATAGATAGATTATAGAGAGATTATATTAAAAAACAAAGGTTTAGTGAATATTGTAAAGAGTTATTATTAAATCAACTAGATAGAAATATAGAAACAAACTAAAAAGCATTAACTTTCTATACAGATAGCTCATTATTTAAAGAAACAAGAAATGGAAGAGTGGTATTGTGAGGTCAGAAAACGTGACCTAAAGGTGCTGCGCCAATTTACATTATTTCGGCTACAATGATCTCTTACCATAAAAAGAGTTACCGGCGATATATTAAATATATCGAGGATAATAGATATATCCCGGATAACCAGTATAACAAAGATAATAGATATAATAGCTATACTAGTTTTAATAGTTTTATCAGTTATAAGAGATATCATGGTTAAAATCAATATAATCAATTTAATGGATATTAGAAATATAATCATTATATTCGTTACTAAGTAAAACTTTATTATAAATAAAGGCATTATCACCCTGAGAAAAATCATGTCTTGTTTCTTTTTTGCTTCAGTAATAATTAAGTCCCAAGCTTATTAAAATACATTTGCTTATAACACTACATAAAATACTATTGTGCTAAATTACACTCTTTGATCCCTAAAGTTATAAACTGATGAGTCATTGCATACATAACCTAACGTTGCCAACCCAAAGTAACCGAAGCCTTAATTACCCTCTAGCCAAATCTAACACACCTTTTTCGAAAGGTTACTTACTATAGGTTATGCGAGTTTTTGAATTGTGAAGCGACTGACTCGCCGTATTTCATCTGTAACAGTATGCAAACAGAGCTTAGGTTGGCTGCAAATTAACAAAAATAAAAAAACTAAGTTACAGGAGGATTGCTTTAGTATAGAACATTAGCTGTCATCGACAAAAGCTAAATTAGCAGCAATATGGATAGTTCTACTTATAGCCCCGATAAGGACCAAAATCAAGATATATATAGACAGTGCAGCCGCAATAGATACAATTAAAAAAGGTAAAGATCTGAAAACGAATAGAGAATGGCTAAAACAAAAAAACTATTTTTTGCTACTCAAAATTATAGATGACAAAAATACAAAAGAATTGAAGCTAGAATTAATTAAAGTTAAAGGTCATAGTAAGAACAAATGGAACAATAAGGCAGATCATTTAGCAAAGAAAGGGTTGCTAGCACCAGATTTACAAATACAGAAGGTAGTATCAAGTTCAGGCTTAGATACAATATTTATTAACAGAACAGCCTTATTGAAATTTCAACAAGAAATTTTATAAAGAACTCGAAGATATAAGAATCGCAGCAGAATGAAGAATGTTAAGTACTGTAAGTTTACTCGAGCCAAGAGACAACACACAGAAGTGGGATTGGAAAAGTCTATAGAGAAGAATCAAATCCCAAAGTAGAGTGCATTGTATATCAATATGAAAAGGAAAAAAGCTAAACTTCTTGATCAAGTGCCTGCATAATCAGCTCTCAGTACTGAGCAACCTTATTAAAAAAAGGCCAGACCTATATGAGAAGAGTAGCTGCAAGTTGTATAAAGATAATATAGAAGAAACACAAGATCATTTAGCATGCTACAAAGCACAGCAGACCTATTGGTATAAAATTGAACAAGTAGCAATTGAAACAGTAAAAGCTCTTATAAACGAATCTGAGAGAAGAGAGAAATTATAAACAAGTAAACTCCAAAAATGTTTATTTGGTGAAATTTACAGAGAGCAAAAAGAATGAAAAGAAGGCTATATTCAGGGTTTATTTAAAAGCACAGTCATAGAAGAGCTCACTGAACAAGGTTTAACAAAAGAAAAACAGATCTAGCCTTAAATGCAGCAATACATGTCTTGTGAAATAGCTTTTACAAAATTGTATAGCAATTAAGATGTGAAAAGATGATAGAGTGGGAACAATAAAAAGGCATCTCTAAGCAGCAAAAATTAGGAAAAAGGACCAAAGTGCAGGATAAAAAGAAGATTAACAGAAAAAAAAGAAAAGAAAAGACAGAAGCACAAAAAAATTCTTATCAGAAGAGTAGAAAACTGTCTAACTCTAAAGAAGCTATTTTACAGAAAGTTAAAGATAGGAGGAAAACTATAAATAAAAGAATAGATGCTTTGGTAAGGAAGACAATGTGGAATAGAATTAAAGTTGGTAAAAAGCCATTTTGGTGTAGCACTTAGGCTGATTTAACACAGCCCCTAGTTTTTAGAATAATCTTCAAATTAGTGTGGCAGGTTGCATTTGGGTACCATTTAGGTAGCAGGGTGATGTCAGGCTTGCAAATTAGAAGTAAACAAGTGTATAATTTAGTAATATACCTAGAATCTTAATAAAGTACTGGCAAAACTGCCTAAGATTAAAAAAAAAAAAAAAAATTGCATTTTAATAAAGAAAAAATTTACTAATACATTTAAAAATTCACTCAGCAAACCAAATAAAGTGTAAAATTAAAATTGTTTTGAGGAAAAAAAAAATTTTTCCATAAATATTTTTAAAAAAAAAAATTCTATAACTTTATAGTCATAATAAAAAAGAATCAATTTATATTGAAATTTCTAGCAGAAAAAAAATTGCAGTTGGTGTATCTAAAAAGTGTAACCTAGCTTTATATATAAGTTATATATATAAAATACTTATTGATCATTACAAATATTAGTTTATAGTTTATCAATCGACAATCACTTAAAAATCTATCATACAGTAATAGATTTCACTATGATACCACATATAGTTTTGATTTACATAGTGCACCGCACACCCCAACCTCACGCGCACTTCTTTCTATAAGCGCACATCATTTGATCCGTCTAATGTAACATACAGTGTAAAAAATTTGATGTGTGCATGTGAGGATCACACATGAATTTCTTATTTTAATATAAAGAAAGCATTTGATCATATGAGTGTGCACATACTTAAACGAAATTTTTAAACTGGCAACGTAACATTATATGTAGATTACGTTCCATAAGAGCACATTCCGTAAGTGCACTTTCCCTAATTACATACATTTATGGGGGACGTCTAAAGCAGAGTAGATCTTATAATATATATATTTATTGAATTAACTTTAGGATTAAAATCATCTTATATTAGAGATAGATTAGGTTTAAAACAATTATATGTAGCAAAATTGTCTTCCCGACATTTTTAATTAACTTACCCAAGGTAGATTTAAACTGCCATTTTTTGTATTTTTGCGAGTTTCGCTTTTATTTCTTGTCTTGCTCCGTCGAGGATCATCAAATTCTATAATTTGATTAGCCATATTTCACATGATTTTGCTCCGCTTTAGACGACTCCAAATATTGACAGTATTGGATTCAACAAAAAAAACCCCCCAACTCTTATTTCGAAATGACGCATATAATAACGCGCAGATGGCGCTTATTCGGTACAAACTAGAGTTGCAGGTGAAACTGGTGCACCGATTGTAAAACTAGAGTTATAGATGAAACTAATCTTCAACGGTGCATCGATGGTACATCGTTGGTGCACCAGTTTTTTGGTGAAATTAATTAGTTTCACCTGCAACTCTATTACGTACAAACTCTGAAAAGATCCGATTTAAATATTTGTTGGTATGCTTAGATATGCTACGACGGGCACACATATATGTGATCCATATGACCCGTTGACCCGTCCGGGTCATTATTTTCCGACCCGGATAATACCTCTACTCATAATGCAATAGTAAATTTTATCGGGCTAAAAAAGAACCCAAATTTAATAATACACAATCAAATTCTTTACAGCATGATGAATATGCAAATAATATTTCTACAAAAAATACTAAATTATCTATGTTACAAAATAATAAATCTACAACTTCTACTTCTGCAAAAAATATTTAAGAAATTAAAAATCAGAAATCATCGATTTCTTTTTTTTTTTGATCTGCAAATTTCACATGATTTTACAAAATAGGTATACCGGTAAGGTTGTAATACAACTTACTGATGGATTCCCGGGTTTTACCACAAAAAAGATCCGAATACCGATAAAGTTAGCCGGCATTAGTTATAATGTTGGCCAATTTAGTCGGTATTATGGTTGTGTTAACTTACCTACAATGTAACTTACATGACTTCATGTAAGTTACAAATATATAAGATGTTAAAGCAGGCCGGTATTAAGATACTTTGACCAGCATTGAGATGAAATAGAAAGAAAATTTTTAATTTTAGGCCAAAAGCTAAAGCAGGCCAACTTTAAAAATATTGGCCAGCATTATATTAGTGTAACATTTGTAAGTTACGTAAGTTACGTAAGCTAAAATCTAACTTACGTAACTGGTAAGTTAGGATAACTTACCGTAAGTTATACAACCCTAGTCGGTATTATGTTCTTTCGGGGAAAATGGTTTTCGAAATTTTTGTAGTAGAACCAGTACCCCGATAATATCGCCACCAGCGGTAAATAGCAATATTCTTTTTTAAATATTAGATTGTAAAATATTATAATTTATTACAAAATAATTTATATTATTAATTTTTTTAAAAAAAAATTGGGTTAATCATTAAACTCAAAATTCAACAATTCTTTTAATTTCAAAATTTAGTTATTACAAACAGTGTTGGAAATCTTATGTTCTCATGTCTTGGATTTGAGAACATAATACTCCAAAAAATATGATCTCTATATAAGTATAATAGCATAATGCCAGATGGAATTAAAATTAGAAATCGAGCGAAGTTTCAAAATCATCCGAAAAGAAAAGAAAATGAATGAACGAAATAAAAATTTAAATAAATTTGTACATAATTTTCAAACCAGATTTCCAACACTGACTACAAAGGCGAAATTTATTCATGCCCATATATAGTTATGATATAGGTTTGAAGGTTTTAAAACTCCAAATTTACAAAGGCAGCCTGGATTTTGTGTCTTAATAAATCAAAGACGTGATTGATATTCTAAATGGCTTTTTTAATTTCACGAGAAACCCTCGAGGAGAACATTAAACAAAATTGTAATTTCAAATCTGTTAAAAAAAGAAACGTTTCTAAAAAAAATAAATTAATATATATTATTAATACATTTTGATACATAGTTTTTTAATAATTCCAAATATAATAAATTGAACTTTCTACGTATAAAATACGTATATAAAGTAAATTACTATAGAAAACACAAAACAGAACTGGCCTCATCTATTTAAATATAGACTACTTTAATTACAGTCATTAATATAAGAATATATATATATTTAATAACAACATATATACCACACACATGATATCTTTGTACACATTCAATTCGTGTGGCCTACTACTTATGAACTGGTACGCATCGGTACGTACTGTACATCAGCGCAAATAAAATTCTCAAATTATATTTGAATAAATTCATTAGTTCAGAAATAGTAAGAATACGAAGTCATGTTTGTCCATTCGAATTTGGAAAACCTGACCCCCGAAAATATTGTATTATCTTATTACAAGCCAAACCAAATCCGGTTGTATAAATAGGATGCACAAAAATGTATCGATGCACTATTTAAAATTTTACATTTTGGTATAACTTTTTTTTTTTAAGTTTGTGAGACATAATGAGTTTGAGCACTATAATTTTAAATTTAATTTAATTAATAAGTTTTTATGAGAAAAATAAACGTACTGACAATTCAGCGGCTTCAATATTACGGGTACATATTAATTTTACTGAATTCAAAGAAATTAATGGATATGTAAAATGTTAATACAATGAAAAGCCTGATGACCAAATAAAAAAATTGGCCCTCTTATTATAGAATAATAAGGATAGCAAATTTAACGTGAATTATTAGAAGCATTTGCATAAAAAATTAAGAAACGAGCAAGTTGCACTCTATACATATAAAAAAGAAAAAATTAAGTTCTAACGCCTTCTAATATTATAAGTTTAAAACCCAGTTCTAACTATCTTAATTAGAAGTCGTCACATAAGGGAAATATATGTATAATAAAAAGAAGTCATCACAAAAGGGAAATATACAATAAAAATTTTTAAACAATGCCAGCTCCGGCAGCGCCGCGACCACAACAACTAAAAAGAAACCAAAAATTTTGTTATTAGAATCATATATTTTTAAGTAAAGGTGAATAAATTCTAGCCAAGCAAAAATAATTGAATTAATTATTTACCAATAGATAATTAAACCACCCACAGGAAAGAAGAATATCAGAAGTATCCATAAAAGTTTGCTAACCATAGAGCGACCAGATTGTAGGACTTCAAAAATTGCGATAATGTCCAAAATTAACTAAATAAATAAATAAATGGTCAATTTAACCAAGTCCGAAACAATATATATATATTACATATATATACTCACAATGATAAGACCCAAAATACTACCCCATACTGGAGAATAAACAGAATCTGCAAGAGTCATTTTTTCTACTGTTTAATTTCGTTAAATTTCGGTAAATTTCGTTAATTGAAGAACTTTAAAGAATTAAATCTTGGGTGGTGGAGAAAAAGAATCGTATGTTAATTTTTATAGATATTTTATGTCGGAGTCAGAAAAAATGATTGGAAGATATTTTTAATCTTGTACATAAAAAAAATAAGCAAATCAACCATGTGATTAAGAGACTAACCCTAGTTCGAAAGATAACATGATTACGGAATAAATACGTAAGTAACATCTACCCCAGCCATTGCAGATTAATGAAACTTCAGCCATTGCAGATTAAAAAATGATTACGTAAATATGTGCTGATTTGGAATTAATGGAAATGACAGTGAGAAAGTTGTCACCTAAGATATTACAAGTAGTCTATAGTGAAAACATTCCTACGTTTTTCAAGATATATAGAATAAAATAATAAGTTAATTGTAACCTAATTCCTTAAATTTATTTCCTAGTAATATATTTTTTTTAACACCTGTTAATTGCTAATCGACGTTGATAAAATTAATACGTATTATTTATTTAACCGTTATTTAGCGGTTCTATTATAAAAAAGCCTAGCTTTATTGTTATTATTAGATTATTATTGATATTATTTATTTATAAAGTTTCACCATATTAAGAAATCGTTAAGTACGGTGAAATTCCTTAAACATTTCGATCGAAATTAAAAATATAATTGGCCTTATCAATTCCATTTTAGATCTCGGTAACTGGTTTTAAATGTACGATGTACATCGTTTACACTTGTTACGGAAATAATTCTATGCTCAAAGAATTAGGCGTTTTTTTTAACATTACGGCATGACACCATTTTTGGTCATTAAATGGGGCAAATCGGTGTGATGCTAAATCATCACATGAAAAATTAGTTACATGTGAATCCTCATGCTACAATATAAGTTATATTGTGTGATAATTAAGTATCACATTGTTTTACTAACTACATCATTCAAGCCAATTTACTATATAAGTTTGTGTCATACGAATGTTGTTAAACCCTTAAACTAATACCCAATAAACAAATCTCGCTAAAAAAAAAGTTTCTTGAAAAAAGAAATTAATTATGTTAAAATTCCACCAAAAGGCCTTTATGTTAGTGCATAGAAGGTGATTTCATAATTAAATATTTACAACCGATTATATTTTTTTAATTGTTTTGATTTTTGCGTTACATCTTAAAACTGCCAACGAAATTTTTGGAATAGAAACCTGGGACAATTAGCCAACCAAATGATGCCAAATCCATTTGAAATGCAACATATTCGACATTTTCAGTTAAATTGATATGCTTTAATTGGCCGAATTGACTTTATCTCTAACCGTAAAACGTCATAATTAGCACCAACAACACCGTACCGGTACATACGTACGTATTATGTTTTTAAATTAAAGATTTTGTAAATTTTTTGTAACAATATCTTTTTAATAATATGCGGTCACTTTTTTATTAATAATTTTTGTGCTGTTCGTCCGCGTAATATTACGAAAGTTTATGTAATGGTGCAATGGTTTTCTGCGAAAATAATATTATTTTTTTTTAAAAAAAAAAAAAAAAATTAGTAATCTAAACCCAGTTTACTCTAACTCGAAACCTAGTTGTTCTAATAAATAATACCCGCTTTGGCCAATCACATTTTTTTTCAGCTTTTTCTATAAGCCTCTGTTGATGTGGCTGGATCTTCAATCTATAATCCGAAAAAAAAGATATTATTATATAATAAAGAATATAGTGATAGTATCATATGATTAATTTATTACGAAGCATCAATGTCAGAAAAATCTGCGAGTATGATTTCTTTCCATTTTATTTTGGAAATGGATTTAATAACAAACCAATATGATTCACAAACAATTGATGAACATGATCTCGAATTACTACGTGTTTATAGTGTTTGAATAATAAATTAATATTTGTGTAATAAAATTCTTTGTTACCTGTTATTATGTCCATGATGCCCGAAGTTAGATTCAATTATAAAAAAATATTCGAATTTTTTGACTTATTCGAATTACTTGACTTATTCGAATTACTTGATTTATTCGATTTATTCTTTGATTTATTTGAGTTATTTAATATTGTCACTTTTTTCTCACTTTTGAAACCGAAAATTAATATTTTGAAATATACATATATTCGTTATTGCAATATATATTTATCAAATAATATATATTAGTAAATTTTATGAATGGAATATTTAATAATGCTACAAGTGGTCAAAATTAGTACTGTTCAATATAAACGTTGGTAAGTATACACCACAAAATATTTCTAATATATTTCAATCGTACTTTCTCGTTGGCTGACTCGTCATTCTCAGATGGAGATGCTTTTTTGTGATAACTGCTGCACAATTAAGGCTATATTAATGTCTTCGCATATATTACTCTATCCAATCATATCTGCCACGTTTTAACTTTTTTATTTAAAGTTTACGATCTTAAAATATTTTTTAAGAAAAATATGCGAGAGCGAATCAACAGAAATCAAGTAAATTCTTTATAATAAAATTTTTTTAAAACTTTAATCAATAATAGCTTAACTAAATTTAATGAAAACATTTTTTAAATAAATATTAATAACTTGCAGAATTAATTTTTTTTTTCATTACGTGAATCAAAGCTTTTCTTTTTAAAAATTTATTAAAAATATTTGCTTGATTTCTATTGACTCAATTTCATACCATGAACTGTGTTCCAGCAGACAGATAATTTTTATTTTATAGGTACTACATTACTTAAAAGGATTTAGTGCTACGAAAAAAATTATGCATATTTGCTTGGAAAACATGAAAATCACTTTATATAATTAAATTATTAAATTATCTTCTGGAATTGAATTTTATTAAGATCATTTGAGTAATATTAACACTAAGTCAAACTATCTTTGCTGTTGGAAAATGATTCTAAATAATAAAGTTTCTTTAAAATAACATACAGTACATAGGTGTCCAAATTATTTACACGCCGAAATGTTTTTAATATTCTCGCCATGGTAGTCTTAAAAATGTTATGGCGAAATTTAAGGCCGCGCAAAGCTGATTTGTTCCCGTTTTGCATAAACTGATCGATCCTTTTTCCAAAAAAAAATTTTTTTTTAAAAAAAAATAACCAGTCATTCTATTTTTACTAATTATTTTTTCGTCACTTTGATCCGGTGTTACCCGATGGAGATCTAAATTTCCCGTAATTTTCCGATAGGCCGATCAGAAAAGAAGCTAACCGATTTCCAGATGCAATGTAATGCAAAACAAAAAAATTAACTTTGCGCGGCCTTATACTTTTTTTAAAAAAATCATTATTACTGTCGAAATTGGTATATATAACATTGTTAGTATTATTATTAATAAACTCAAAATTATAAACAAACCGATACTATTATGGACAAAATTGATTATTATATTAACTAAGGATATCAAGCGGACTTTTTAGAAACTAACCAGAACTTGTCCAAAAACTGGTTTATATATTCACACAATATAAAAATTCCTTTTTTTGACCCATTGAACAGGTTTAATATGATGTGGATCATGATACAACATCTTTTTAAAAGGCATAGTTAAATTCTCTGATCCACTTTAAAAATACTCAATTTGTTACCAGAATTATTACATAATTCGATTGGCAGGTTAAAATCAAATTAAATCAAATTAGTAAATATACACTTTAATTGTTTTCCTTTTTTACGCCATATAGAGTTCCAAATTTATATTTAAACCACTAGGGTAAGACCGGTTTTTGACAGGAAGTGAATCGTCCGTTAACATTCCTAATTATAGCTAATAATATTATTTGTTGCAGATGTTTAAAATTGGAAGTGTGTTCCAGTAATCGCGTGATTCGGAATTTTTAAAATAAAGTGGGTATTTAAAAAAAAAATTTTCAATATTTCTAATTTGAGGTTTCAATTAAACAAATACACATAAGTGGCGCATTTTGAAAAATAAGTAGGATTTTTTTTTTAAAAAAAACAAATAAATATAATTATAGAACATGGTATCAGGGTGTTGGCGTAGTGATCAGCCACTGAATTAAATTCATATATGATATTAGATTTCTGAATCTTAAACGCAGTTATGGAAGGTTTAATTTATTGTGACAATGTATCTTTGATCAAATTTACCAAATTTAACAAATTTGTAGATCACACTTCCGATAATCCTATTATACACGAATATAGCCACAAAAAATTATGAATTAATATATTTATATTGAATTTTTGGCCAAGAAACACCCTTTTACATTCACACGATGACAATCAGGTGATTGATTATATAAGTGAGCGGCGATCTACAAATTTTATCATTTTGCAAATCTAATAAACAATCATTATGTAGTATTACATTAACAAAATTATTCCTATTATTATTGGTTGGTTTTACAATCACGCGACCTAATTAAATCGTAATGGATATTCTGATTGGCTTGTTTAATTTCAAGGGAACCGTCGAAGAGAACGTTAAACGGAATCGTTATTTCAAGTTGCCTTAATATTTTTATAAAATCTCTTTTTAACTTTTTAGATAATAATATCCTTTACTTTGTAAGTTTTCTATTTTCTTTTAATTTGTAAACTGCATATACAACAGAAATGTGGAATACTATGTATATAAATAAAGTTAACAAAGTTTATAAAATTTAGCTTTTAAAAGTGAATTCTCTTTTGGAGGTTAGGTTACTATTATCTTTTATTCTTGTTAAGATAAAGCTTATGTATTATTTTCAATTTATATTGGTTATTAATTGATTTTCTATTTTCTCCAATTAAAAAATGGGTTGGAACGATTCTTAATAATATTATAAGATTAATGTTAATAGAATACTGATATAATAAATATTTATTTAAATAATATAATAATAAAATCAAATATTTAAAGAGATAAAAAAAAACCAAATAAAAAGCAAAGTAAATAAGTAATCAAATAAATAATAATTATTGGTGAATAGGTCGAAGCCTAAAGTTTAAATTGGAAAAAATT